AATAACAAAGATGGAATTGCTACTAGCACCTATGTCAGGTTACTACACGAAGGGATAGGATGAATATACACATAGACTTTTTCATTCTCAACCAAACAATTTAAACTTATTGATACATTGCCAAATTATAGGACATCAAGCTTAATATGCGTAACTAATCGCGTCCTAACATAATTAAGGTTGATAAGCACATACAAAGAGGTGGGAAGGGTCGGCCCAGCCCGAAATCGGCCTGGATTTAGGGCCTTGGAATCGGACCCGTGGTAGAACCAGGCCGATTCTAGGTTTTAATTTTTTTTTTTTTTGCCCACCGATTTCAAGCTGGAAAACGGGTCCGAGTTGTTTTTTATTTTTGTTTTAATTAAAATAAAAACGACAGTGAACTACCGAGTCGGGCTGGGTCGTAAACGGGCCCGCCTGATTTGCCACCTCTACATACAAAATCGCAAAACGAAACAAAAGAGAAAAAGGCTTCCTTTTTCCTGTAAAAATCACATATCCTCTCTAAAAAGGCCCTTTATTAGAGAGCCAACCAATCGAAAACCGTTAACCCATTACTCATTTTTCATCGTTACAAACATAATCATCATTAAATGAATCTATCAATCGTTATGAACGACCTGTCGAAGGTCGATTAAAATATAATTCACCAAGCACTGGCTGGGGAAAAGTAGAGAAAAAGATAAGAGATGACCACTCCTCTACACCATTTTGATTTTTTCAGACTTCCTCGTTTTCCGACAGCTATCCCTACCTCAGCTACTGGGGGTGGTTTTACCCATTTCCATTCTGTTTTCTTTTCTTCGAGCGCTCGTACGAGATTTTCCTCTTCATGGAGTTGTTCTGCGCGGAAAAACAAGGTAATTTGTTTGCCATTGTCTTCTGTTTGTTTTATTGATTTTTTTCCCCTAATTCATCATGTTTCTTTTTATATGTGCGTGTCTCTTAATCTGGTTTTTCAATTTATTATTAATGTTTTTGTGTGTGTGTGTGTGTGGTGTGTGGGCGCGGTTGGTGTCTTGAGTTCTTGAGAACTATCGTGTTGTAGAGTGAAAATATTTGTTAGGATGCGGGTTTCTCTTCATTTGCTCTGAATTATATTCTTTGGCGTACTTTTGTCCAAAAATAAAGCAGCTCGTTTCAGATAGTTGATTAATGAGGGGCAAATATCGACAATGTACATTCTTATGGGGAATTTTGGAGATTTTTTGATCAGTTGTTGGATGACTAGCTAGGAAAACTTGATTCAGACCACTTTATTGGTGTTCAATTGTAGATGCCGTGTTTACTGATTTCTGGAAATCGGATAATTTTCCCTTGTTAAGTTTTTAATATCAAATGAGCATTTGTTATCCTCAAAGCTGCACTTTTGTGAAAATGTCAGCACAGTGGCACACGTTGGTTCCTGTGTTTCGCCTCTTGAACAAATCGTTTAAATATTTGATTGTTATATGTCACTAGGAATGGTATCGAGGCCTCTTACTCTCCCACTGCCTTTGAGCCTCTTTGTGAAGACAGTATGCCATTGACATGAAAATCCTTGTTTTAGCTTGATTAAGTTTTAGCGGAACATAGTTGCCCCCATATATCCGATCTTGTCTTGTTTGATTGCAAGCTCATGAGTTTTTTGCAAGATTCAAAGTGGTTTCCAGTATTCAAACTTACTCTTTTTACATGAACATTGCTGTGATCTCTATATGGTGACCTATTCTAGTCTCAAAACAGCTTTTCTAATGTTGATTGATCATTTAGCCAATCATTTTAAATAAAGTTAATTTCAAACTATGCTGTTACTTTGAAGCATTACAAGGTCCAAACTTACTTCTGCATTCCAGTTATACTTCTAACCAAAAGAAATTTGTTATGAGAACCATGGAGCTTCATCTGTAATGCAGGAGCATAATTTCACCTAATAACAAATAACAAAGAGAAACGTGTTCTATTTTTGGGACTCAATAGTTCGAGTTGAACTTTCCTCGAAGAATATTAATTTTTTGAAACATTTTGCTAGCCATATAGAGCTCAGTACTCAATTATATCAAATAATAAAGGGCATTTTTTCTTGCACATTCAAAATCAATATGCAAACAAAAACCACTGCGTTTAATTAACAAAATCCCTTATCGATGTGAGTTTCTTTCACATGATTTCTTGCCTTATATAGGGTAATATTATGCTCAAAGGAAACCATTCACACTAGTAATTGGGAATAGAAAAGCAAGACTTGGAACCCTTTTACTGAAAAGTTCCACTTTCACTTTGGGGTGGACTTGGGCATTTGGACTGGTATAAATTTGGAGCTGGTTGTGTATGTTTGAATTGTGAAAATGAAATGAAATAGGAACAGAGTTTTACAATACTGTTATATCTTTCCAAGTCCCAAATTTGAAAAATTAAATCCTGGTTCTATACAGGTCAGGCTGGGATCTGAATTGCCACATGCATATGTCCATGCTCACTCCTGAATGTATTTCTTTGTGTCTTTGTCTGAAATTCAATAGATATCTTTAATACTGATAAGCATCGTAAAATGAGGTGAACTCTGTAAATAAGAATTGGGCTGGGAAGGGAGGGCAGAGTCAAGCACAGTAGGTTACCTATGGTAGACAAATTAACCTCTTTCTTGAAACCCTAATCTTAGAACAGTCATCCATTTTGAGTTTTTCTGGTTTTAATATGCTATGCATACTGTGTTGTCTTCACTAGTTTTGTTATATTCGTATAAAATTGGACTAAAGAGGATAGGTGTATCAGTTAAAGCTACTACTCTTGCTGCAGTAAGTTCTCCAAAGAATACCTTGTTTTAATCGTCTGCATCAGTTGGTTGTCACTAATGATTTACTACCAGGGCCTCTGTTTTCTATGTGCTGGTATAGTGGCGTATTGGATGTGAGAGTATACAAGGCGTGGAGAATTCCGGGGATGGAGAAAACAATGCGATTCAAATGTATGGTTCTGACGAAGAAGGCTCGTCAAAGATTCCAACTCAAATTGGAACTATTGTTAGAGGGTCTGAGTCTGGGACTGGGTCTAAAGATGTTCTCGTATCTGAGTATAAACCCATGCCTGATGTGGACTACCTGCAGGTTTTTAGACTTTTCGTGATTCATTTCATTTTGACAGGGTAATTACTCAATGTTCAAAGATTTTGACGTTGATATTTATGTGTTATTTATTATCTTGGGATACTTTCATACTAATGAAGCATTTTTCTTATAGTTGAAATTATGAAACGTTGTTTTTGTATGCTTACTAGCAGTCTTTCCAACTTGCAATGCTGCTTCTAGTGTTGAAACCATCCATTTCAATACTTAGAAATAGATGTGTTCTGTGTTGTTGTCTTTTTAATCCCTCATGTCATTGCTTTTAGCTTAGTCTTACCTAAACATATATTATTATTTATACAAGTGTCCTAACATTGTTATTGATACTAGTGTGAATATAACATTATTATTTACCTAAGGATATATTATTATTATCAGGCAGCCAATTTTTTTTTTCGCTACATATATTATTGATAGAAGTGTGAATATATATTATTTTTTATACAAGTGGGCTAACATTGTTACTTTCTGAAAAAAAATCATCATTTGTGATTTGCCAATTGTAGTAGAACTAGACCAAACAATAATGAAAGTACCCAATATTTGCGAGGCAATTTTTCTAGAGAAAGAGAAATCCAATAGGAGAAGTGCAAAGCACAAATGTCTAAGATCATAACATCTACTAAACCGTAGCTATATGAATGTTATGACTATCTTAAATGCATACTTCTTATATCCATTGCAATTTTGTACAATATACTGAAATCCAAGTACTTGAACCTATGAGAAAAATCCTTTAATTTCTCGATTAATAAAAATCACTGTCTTAACCTCTAAGCACAAACCGGCATGAACAAGTGTCAGTTTCCAGTTGGTCTAGATGATCAAACCTCTTTACTTAGCCTCTAAGAACAAAGCTGTATCGAGCTCTTTTTGAATTTTTGAACTGTTCTTTTCTTATTTCTTCTCTGTGTTAGTGTGTTTATCTCTATTTATCGAGTGTAGTTTCAGAATAGATTTCTTCAGCACATTTATTGAGTGATGTTTACTGTTCCAGTGAGATTAGAGTTCAATCAACACAGTGAAAAAGTTGCAGGGTTTGCTGTGGTCTTGAGATCACCTATATGTAAAATGTGCGCAAACCACACTTGTACATGGTATTGGCCAGTAACTAATCTATGTGGGACAGATAACAAATTCTAACTCTATTTGGAAGGTTTGAACCTTGTGCCATAACCTTAGCAGATCAGCATTTTCTTTCTTTGGCTGATAAATACAGAATATACACAAACATATATGTTCTGATACTTTTGTTGCCTTTGCCAGGAGTTACTGGCAATCCAACAACAAGGGCCGAGAGCAATTGGCTTCTTTGGGACACGAAACATGGGGTTCATGCACCAAGAACTCATTGAGATTCTCAGCTACGCACTCGTCATTACTGTACGTCTAATAATTTACATATATTTATTTAAATTTTGTAATGTCTCCTTGTTCATGTGGTGACATGCTTGTTCCATGATGCAACAAGCTTCATTTCATAATCGTACGAATAAATTCATATTAGAGCTGTTCTGTTGAATTTCTTTGTAGAAAAATCATATCTTCACGTCTGGAGCATCTGGCACTAATGCTGCTGTGATTAGAGGAGCCCTTCGTGCTGAAAAACCTGAGCTGCTTACTGTGATATTGCCGCAAAGTTTGAAAAAGCAACCTCCTGAGAGTCAAGAATTACTTTCTAAGGTAAGAACTCCGTGTTAGTGTTTTCCTGCTTGATTTGATTGGCGACATGATCTTAGACATGTTCTTTGTTTGAAAAAAGGACTTCTGATTCCTTTATCATTTATACGTCAGCACTATTTTTCTTTAGGATCTTACACTTTGGGGAAGTCGACTTGTGGCACCAAATCTTGGGCCTTCCAAAACTTTCATTATATAAAACAGTGAATGGGCGTGAAAATCAACGTTTAATGTAAAGAGCCATGTTTGCAACATTTACTCTACCGAGATATCTATATGGTCTCAGCTCTTTTAACAAAATACCGACAGTCTTTTGAAGTAGCATTAGGGATGCGAAGAGATACTGTGTGTCCCTTCAGTTTTCTATATGTATTCTGGAAGCTTGCAGGTTTTGATGAACATGAAAGAAAAAAAAAAAAAAAAGCTTCTGATAATGCTGTTATGTTGCTTTAAGAATGGGACTCTAGCACACTGAACCCCTGAACTTTGCTTCCCTTGCATATATGCACTACTGTCCATTTGCAACGTAAGAATTTATTTATTCCTTTTCGGATTTAACACAATTATGCACGAAGAGGCAGCGACATTCATATTGCAGCTGACTATATAATCTTGGTTTGCCATTTTCTGTGTCACCTTATGCCCAGGACAGTGCTGCTTAAACAACTTTGTTTTGGCTAGTCTTCTTTACTATTATCACTCAATGAGTGCAAATTCCTAAATGTGGGTTAGAGATGTCTCTGCCATACCTAGTGAGACAATAGTCTTCAAATTATAAAGGTGCTAAAAAATATTAGTTGTTAGGGATCACAACATATTGAGATCACTAAGACTGCATTTTGGATATTTATAAAGGCTGTGCTGAAATTATTCTGTGAATCCTGACATGGAAATGTTCTTGCAGGTACAAAATGTGATTGAGAAGCCTCACAATGATCATCTTCCATTGATAGAGGCTAGCAGGTACTATTTCTTTCCCTTGATTGTTGGCTGTCTTGATTGCTGGCATTGAATCTAGCATGTGAAAAGGAAGAAATTAACATGACTGACTTGGATTGTGTCAAGTGGGTGTTTTAGGGGAGTATTTGTGATTTTAAAGATAAACTAGAGCTTTTTGTAATTAGCTAAACCTGAGGGGGTATTTTTTGTACTCATTCCCATAAGTGAGACTAATAAACCGCTATTCAGTTATGTATTTCACTTGATTGCCTACTGACAATCTGTTTTATTCTGCATCACACATCTTTCACTGTGAAACACATACACATATCTTTTTCTTAACTGTTTAATATTTTGTTATACTTCAATCATCATGCGGCTGAGCTATATCTATGCTGTATAAAAGCTACTGTGAGATCAAACTGACTTGTGTGCATGATAACACGCAGGCTCTGTAACATGGACATCATCTCTGAAGTACAACAGGTTATCTGTTTCGCCTTTCACGACAGTCGATTGCTCATGGAAACATGTCAAGAAGCCAAGAACATGCGCAAGATAGTCACTCTGTTTTATCTGGATTGATAAGGCCCCCTTATGGCTCTTATTCGTTTTTCGGAAAACAATATATGAGTATCATGAAAAATGGGAACTGTTGCTTGTAAATTTTTAGAATGCACAGATTCATTGGCTTTTTTGTTGTGGCAGTTTATGATCCAAGCCTACACGTGGCTTTTTGAAGTATCTTTTGGCTACAAAGTGACGTTTGTTGGCTGAACTGTAACATTTTCGAATATTCTTAAGTATCATGCAATTACAATGTGTATCATGTTTCTTACGAGCTACTTAAGTATCATCCTGTTTACATGTTCAGCTGGACGAGCTGTTCTTGATTTCACTCGAGTTACTCATCAATTCTCGATTCAAATCAGTGTATTCGACACTTAGATTCCATTCTAAACCAGTAAACAGTCATCTGAACTCGATTCATTTTAGCATGATATGATCACTGGGATAGTTACTGTTAGGTTCATACATAAATCGAGCAAGTTGAGGCTTTTTTTTTTGTTTTAATAAATAATTGTTTTTTAAAAAGAAAAAAAAATCGGTAAGCAAGTTGAGCCTTTTAGACGCTGCTTATACTTGTGAAACATTATGCAAAACATAAAAACTGAAATCACTACGAAGCTTCATAGACAAATCAACAGTAGGGATTTCCTATTGCAATGTTGGATTTAACACAATTTCTAAAAAAAGATACAGAAGAGTACAAAATTACACTACTAATGTTCGTTAATAACTTGGGAGTTGAGACCGCGTAAAAAGACATTAAAATTTTTGAAGTAGTTTAACTAGACTTAAACTTTAAGGGTAGCTTTGTAACTGTCCCCAATTGGGATTTGTTTCCTGTACAAGTTAAAAAGGCAACAAAAATATTTCATTGGATTTACAGAATGGCATCAGTTGAAACAGAAATTTTTTAATACACATCGAGATATCATATCGATCATCTCAAAAACTTGGATACAATGAAGAACCACATCAACCATCTATTGCAAATTTAAAACAATATTGAAACATAAAAAGTACAGCAAGCAATGCCGCCAGCAAAGGTCTCCCACAAAATATTTCATAACTCGAATTGTCATGTACTCGAGCACATCATCTACATCAAGCCGGCAATGGCTCCTCCATAACTGCATTTAAATATGGAGAATGAGTCATATCTTTTGGTAAGTATATTTACGATTACTATGGAACTACGGATAGTACTCATGAAGTTCCAATATCTTGACAAAAAAGAGCAACTCAAAATTATCTTTAAAACATACAAATATTCCCAGGACAGGACATATTTCTCTGTTGCATAAGAATGTAGAGTCAACACTGTACTTATTTCACAAGTACCACTAGCATTAAGGGACTATTTTTGTAAAGCAATGAAAACAACAGGATGTTTACCGTCTATAAAAGATAATTACAATTTATTTATATTTATTTATTTATATTGTGATTTAAGCTAAACCTCAAGGTCATTTTTTTTTTTTATCAGCCAATATGCTCAAATGGGCTAGGCTGGAACGTGCGTGCCCCGCGGGAACGTGTGTGTGTGTGTGTGTGAGAGAGAGAGAGAGAGAGATAGAGAGAGAGAGAGAGACCTTTTCTATTTGCAGAAATTTTGGACGAAGAATCTGCGAGAGCCTCCGGTGCTTTAGTTGGTACATCAGGAAGATCCAACTTCTCATCTGCTTCTTCAATAGGTAGTGCTGCATCCGGAACTTTGGGAAGATCCTGAAGGCTTATCTGCACAATTAAAGAACATCTTTTTAATTTATAAGGAAGTAGAAAATTATTATTCAGCACCACAACCAAAGAGGGGAAAAAAACAAACAAAAGGAAAAGCAAACAAGCAAACTGACCTGTGCCTCTAGATTCTCGAATTCTGCTAAGACTTCCTCCTCATCTTCAGCTGAGAGCTGTTCTCCCAAAATGGCATTAATTTCCTGTGAGAAAAAAGAGAAAGAAAGAATGAAAGTCAGCTACTAGTCGAGACTCGAGAACCAAGGAAAACGACACGGATGGAATAGATGGTTTTCATCCATGTCAAGTAACNAGTGATACCAATTCCAATCTTCTTAATCATTGAATGACAAATCCTGTTCAATCAGTCCAAAACACCAATGGCGATAAATAGAATATGGATAAAAAATTTCAATTTTGTGCATAGAGGTACCCAGTTTACGTAGTTGTATTTTTAACACGTCATTCAACAACAACAACAACAACATACCCAGTATATTCCCAACAGGTTGGGGTCTGGGGGGTCATTTGTACGCAGACCTTACCCTTGTAATTATACAAGGAGACTGTTTCCGTAGCGACCCAAGGTGCATTGCGCCGTTTGATATATTTTTTTTTTTCTAGAAACTTCACTAATAGAAGAAGCACTTGAATTTAATTGAACCATTTTGATCTAGTCTCTTATTAGCACTATGCCAGGAGAATTGTCAACAATGACTCTTCCAGCTCCATTATTGTTAACACGTCATTCTACCTAAATATTTTGAAGTACGACAGTCAACTTAAATTTTGCTATAGAATTTCTCTCATAAGAAAAGAACTGTAATAAACAAAACTCATAAAACTCACATCCTGATAAGCTTTTGCCTCAGCAGTATCATCCATCAATTTTTGAACATCATCCAAATTTATCTCACTCTGTATTGCTTTGACTGCATTATTTCCAGCTTTCAAACTTTCAAACACTGCCTTTTGCTTGCTCGCCAGTTCAACATCTGCCAACTGAAGCAATTTCTCAACCAACAAGATATTGTATGAAGGTTGAAAGAAAATACGATGAAAATCTACAGGAATGAGTGAGGAAACATTATGTAAATAAAGATACAAACTAAAATCGATTAAACCTAAACCTACTTGCTGCTCAACATTGATGAGCCAACCATCAACTTGCTTCAAGAGGTCTTCTTGAACTTTCTTCTTTTTCAATGCTAACAATGCCCTATCTTTCTTCTTTTCACGTACTAAATCTTTTGCAGCTTGTTTCTCGGCTTCTATGACTGCCTCTAGCTGAAATTTCTCATTAAAAATTGGGGAACATTAGTGCATGTAAAGCTATAACTGCATAAGCAAGACACATTCAACTACAAAAATACTGCAATGAGAATTGCATTATCTATAGTTCTCTGATGGTAAGGAAATCCATTAAAATCACAAAACTTATAAATATAAAAGTTCAAGGATGAACATCCACACATTAAAATCACGATAGTGCGATTATCAAACATAAAGACTGAAAAAATGACAGCAGTGATGCTCACAGGAAGTACTCTCCTTAAAATAATTAGGCCAAATTACTGACCCTAAAACTATAAATGCTAATGCTAATGAGATTGTCACAACACTATAAGAAATGGGAAAACAAAGCATCATTCAGCTGATTAATGGGCTCGTATAACATAATGTCGTCAGATGTCGAGTAAAAGATTTTCGCTTTTGTTTCCAAGTCCAAAACTAAACAGTAACATAGACAGAAGTTAAAGGCCAGTAATAGGATCAGCAGATGTTTGGTCCAGTGATGTGATATTGACGATAGACAATATCTAGAAAGCTTGACTTTTCAAGTTATCTGACAAATCAATATCGTTCATCAAACCATAAATAACAAAATTCTTTTCTGACATGAGAATCTTGCGCTTTTAGAAGCAACAGATTCCAATCTCATCAATCGATAGCATAAAAGAGCGTTTCTGCAATGGACTATTCATATCATATGTAGAACAGAATATAAAACGAGCTACA